GGGTCTCTGGGAGCCCCCCCAGTTGCAGCACGCCCCGATCCATCCTGTGGGATCCCCCAAAATCCCGACACCCACCCCTTCTTGCATCGCCTCTGCGTTTTCCAAGCAACCTGCCGCCGCGTGGGGGAGGAAAAAAGGGACAAAACGCGGTGGCAGCCTGCAGGGACACCTCCCTGGAGACACCCCCCTCTTTTTTAGCGACCCCCCCGGGAGGGTGAGACCCCTCTGAGGGTTTTCCCGAAGGGTTTTGCCTTTAAAACCCTTTTTTTTTGGTTTCTGTGAGGCGTGGAGGCGAGGCAGGGTGGGGATGCTCTGGTGGCTCGTGTGCGCACACGAGGCTGTGCACGGGGATGTGGCGGCGCCTGGAAGCCTTCTCCCCCCTCCTCGCGTTCCCACCCCAAATCCTCCTTTTTTCTGGGCTTGCGTGGGGGGGCTCGGAGGAATTTTGGGCTCCAGGAGCCCTCCTGGCATCCCTCCCGTGCTGGCTGGAGGATAAAACCCAATATTTTTTCCCCCTCTATCGAGGTTGGGGGCCACCAGGAAGAGTGGGGGGCCCCCAGCCCTGCTCCCCCTTGCAGGATGAAGACCCCTTTTTGGGGTTTGGAGGTTTCCACCCCGCTGAGCCCCGATGGTGGAGCTGGGTGTGGCGGGGGAGCTCCATCACCGCTGTGCCCCCCCCCAAAAAAGGATGAAACCTTGCCCAAACCCAGGGCGCGGAGGCGATGCCGGCGAGGCGCACGTGGCCAGGAGGGAGCCCCAGGAGACAAACCCAGCGGGGTGACCCCAAATCCCACCCAAATTTTTGCTTGGGGGGGTGGGGGGGGACAGCGGGGACACCCCCCCTCCTGCCCCCTTCCCTCGCAGAGCGATGGGGAGGGGGATGGAGGGGTTTGGGGGGGGGCTCCCCGCTCCCCTCCTCGAAGCTTTCAGCGCTGTGGATGGATTTTCCTGGTGTCCCCCCCCTTAAAATAAATATTTTGGGGGGGGCTTCCTGCCACCTGCAATAATTTGGGGGTGCTGGGGGTTTGGGGATGCCCCCCCCAGAAGGCTGGGTGGGGGCTGCGGACCCCATCCTGCGACCCCTGCGCACGGGGAGGGGAAAAAAAAAAGGGCGAGGGGGTCCCCGGCTGGAAGGGAGGTTACGGGGGGGGGATGCCAAGCCAAGGGGGGGTCGCAACCCCCAAAAAAACACCAAGAAATGGGGTGGGGGCGTGCAGGAATCCCCCCCCCCGCTGAGGATGCCGGAGGGGGACAAAAGCCGAGCCACATCCAAAGGGCGACCCCCCCCCTTCCCAACGCCCCCCTCCCCAAATTTCCCAATGAATCCTTTTCACCCCCACCCCCTACATCCCTCCACCCCCCCCGTACCCCTTTTTTGGGGGTTTTTCCCCCCCCAGCCCCGTGCGCTCACCCCACCGCCGGCACCAGCGCTGCCGCTCGGCGCTCTCCGGGCTCATTTAACGCGGGCGCGGGGGGCTCGGAGGAGCTGCCCCCACCCCGGGGGGGTTGGAGGGGGGGTGGGAGATAAAAAGGGGGGGGGGTTTCGGTGCCCACCCCCCCCTAAATGACATCACCTCCCCGGCCGCCGATTGGAGCAGCCCCGCGGCCGCCTTCAATTGGCCCCGAGCCGTGCGAACCGGGGAGCAGCCCGGTGACGTCACGGCCGGCTGCTATTTTCGGGTGAAAAGGTAAAAAAAAAAAAAATAAATTGAAAATTAAAAAATAAAATAAAAAAATTAATTGCGAAAAAATATTAAAAAAAAATGAAATTAACGGGAGGGGGGAAGGCAGGAAAACGCTTGGAAATGGGATTTTTTTTTAATATATATGGTTTTAGTTCTTATTTTTGGGGATTTGAGCCCAAAATTGGGCCGGCACCCACCGGGGTCCCAGCTTTGGCTTGGGGGGGGGTCGTGCACGGCCCAGCAGGACGGAGCTGGGCGGTGACAAAGTGACAACGGTCGGGAGCTGGTGGCTGCGGGCACCTCCCCGCGCGGGGGGCTTGGGGACACCCCCCAGCTCCGATGTCCCCAGGTGGGGACAAAGCGCCCCCCACCAGGACAAAGCCTTTGGGGACATTTTGGGGTGTCCCCTCCATCCTCCTGGGGCTGGGACACCACCGGGTGTGTGTGACCCCTTTCCAAAAGGACCAATTCTTGCCCCCAAAATTAGGCGATGGGAGCTCGGCGAGGCCAAGTCCCACATCCCAAAATTATTTCGGTGCGTGACACCCCCCTGGGTGAGCAGGGGACACCTCCCAGCTCCGTGCCCCCCCCACCAGCCCCATTTCCTTCCCCCTAATTCGCTTCACCCTGGCCTATTTATGCCGAAAGCGAAAAATCACGAGCCCGGCACCCCCGGGGGGACCGTGCGGGTAAATTTAGGCACCATCTCCCCCCCCCACACCACGAGTTTCGGGTTTTTGGGTTGTGGGGAGTTTTTTTTCCCCCATAAAACGCCCGGCGGGTGGCTTTGCAGACCCTACAACCCCAGGATGGAAATTGGGGTGACACCGTGGGTGCCCACAGCTCGGTGACACCGAATATTTGGCACGAGCTGCGCTCCCCCCGTAGCGGGGACGTGGGGTTTGGTGTGATGGTCGGACCCCCAAAAATTGAGCTGGGTGGGGCTGGTTAAACTGGGAGCAAACTGGGAGAGAAGAGGGAGCGAACTGGGGGAGCAGAGAGGGGGCTGTGGGACCCCCGTGGGGCTTGTGGGGACCCGAGGAGGGAAAGAAACACGCAGAGGGGACGAGGGGGGGGAAAATTGAGCTGCAGCATCTGAAGAGGGACAAAAAACCATTGTGGGGACCATGTGGGGGGGGGACGGGGCCCGGCCGTGGCTGGCACCGGGGCGCGTGGCACCCCACGAGGGGGGGGCCCTGAACAATCCCTCCTTTGAGCTCCAGGCTCAGGGCACGAACCCATCCCTGAGGTGCCAAACGCATCCCTAAAACCCCAATCCCAAAGGAAACGAATTTTTTTTTGGGGTGGGGGGGACACAGGGCTGGGTGCCGGAGCCCCCCCAGGTGGGGTCGTGACGCTCGGTGACCCCGCAGCACCTCGGCGGCCCCCCCTGCAGCTTCTCCCCGGCCTAATTTTGGCTAAATGAGACCCAAAATAAAAGGAGGCCAAGGAGATTTGGGTCTGCCCAAAACTCTGGGGACCTGCCACGTGCCGACCCTTTTCCCATCCACGCGGGGCTGTCCCCAAGGGGGGGGGGGACGGGTGGGATTGGGGGGGTCAGCGTGGCACGGGTGGGATGGGGCTGGAGGAGAAAGTGGCCAAAAAATTGGTGGCGGGGAGGAAAAAGCCCTGGCATTTGCGCCACTGCTTAATTTTGGCTGTTCGGCCCCATTTTCCAGCCCCCCCCCCCTTTATTTTTTTCCCTTTCCCAGCTCCTCCCAAAGCGGGGTCCCCCTTGGCGAGGTTGGGGACCCCCCCTGGGAGCGGAGGCTCCCAAAAAAAAAGGATGCTGAGGGCTCCGCGGGGTTGGGGAGGGGACAAAAAGCAGGGAGGGAGAAAAAAAAAAAAAGAAAAAAAGGAAAAATTAAAAAAAAATAATTAAAAAAGCACCGCCCTGCCCCAGATTGGGCAGAAATGACATCATCACCCGGACGGGAGCCAATGGGAGAGCCGCCTGCTTCTCCGAAATCTCGGCTGTCCCTATAAATTCTGGATGATAAAGGGAGGGGGGGGTGAATGGCAGCCGGTTCAGCCCCCCCTTGGGGGGGTGACAGCCCTGAAACCCCCCCCAAAAATGGCACTGGGGAGCTCGGTGCCCAGCTGGGGGGCTGCAGGGAGGTGTGGGGTTGGGGATGGGGGAATATATGGGGTCTGTAGGGTCGGGGATGCCCCCCAAGCTGGAGGAGGGGGGGGCATCGATCCTGTCCTGCGTGCGTTTGGCTGGGGAACCCCTGGAGCTCCCGCAGCCAAAAATAAGTCAGAAACGGAGATGGAAAATAAATTGGGAGCCTTCAGCTGGCTGCGGGGAGGAAGGTTTGGGCTCGGGAGCTCGCCACACTCAGGTTTTGGGGCACAAAACGCCCCCCCCACCCAAGTAGCTCGTTAATTCATCATTCCCCCCAAACAATTTTTTATTTTTCACCGAAACGGGTGAAATTCACCACATTTCCAAGCGTCGCCAGCTCGGGGGTGTGCCGGGGGGCGTTGGGCAACGTCCCCATGGGGATGGGAAGGAAACGGGACGGTGACACCAATTTTCCTCGGGAACGGGATCGCGTCAGCCCCACGTAAGCCAGGCGGAGGACCCCCGGGTCGCCCCCCCCTTTTGTTTTCCTGCCAGCAGCTCCGCTTCCTAAGGAGGATCCGATGCAAATGGGGAGAAACCATGGAAACCGGCGTTAATATCAGCATCCTACCCGCAGATCCCGGACAGCACGGGCACCAAAACCATCCTGGAGGGGACGGGGACCCGTCCGAGGAAGCTGTCCCATTTTTTTGGGGGGGATTCGGGCGATGCTGCGAGGCTGGGGGCACCCAGGTGGCCTTGGGGTTTACGGGGGAAAAGGTTTTTTTGACGCAAAGTAAAAATTGATCGATCACCGCGCTCACACCCACGGGTGCTCGGAGGGGATTTGGGGACATGGGGTGGCCGCTGTCGTGTCCCCACCACTCCTCCAGGCTTTCCCGAGGTTGGTGACCCTGCTCTGGAGGAGTTTTTGTCCCCTTTTTTCCAACCTCTGAGCCTCCAAACATAAATTCCACATCTGGGGGATTTCTGGAAAGGTCCCTGAAAGGAGGAAGGTAGGAAAAGAAGGGACGTTGCTGTCACCGATGTCCCCACGGGTGGTTATTTTATTTTTCTGCCCTCCCAGCCGTCCCCGTTGGGTCGTTTTACTGGAAGTCCTGGAGCCCCCGAGCTTGGAAAGCCCCCGGCTGCTTTCATTTTCTATTTACAACCCCCTCACTTTTGCTGGGAGAGCAGGAAAGGAGCCAGAGCGGGCCGGGGACAGCTGCTGAGAAACGTTGACACAGCGATACCAGAACCCGATTTTTATTAAAGATTTAAAAAAAAACAGAGGCAGTACATACATAAATTCTTTTTTTTTTTTTTCCCTTTCATTTTTTTTTTCTTTCCTAGGGAAAGTTTGTCTTAAAACAGGACACAGGCAGGGGTGGCAGCTACACGGGGGTGTCCTCTTGGATGCGCACCCGGACGGGGCAAATGCGCAGCGCCCTGGGCAGCGCGCCCACCGGGGTGGCCCCCATGTAGAAATAGGGGAAAACGGTGCCCCCGAATTTCTCGTGGAAGGTGTAGATGTGGCTCCTGCGCTCGGCGTCGTAGAAAGAGAGCTCCCCTTCGTCGCAGTCCAGCTCCACCCGGAGCCTCCCCAACTCGCCCAGCGTGGCCTCCGAGCGAGCGGCGTTGGAAGCCCGGCACGTCTCGCCGTCGGTGGGCAGGCGGTAGAGGTACCAAAAACCGGAGCGGGCGTCGTGGTGAAAATTCCAAGGGGTTCTCCCTCGGGGTCGAGCCACCCCCACCCGCCAGTTGGTGATGCCTCCCAGATCCACCTCCCAGCTGTGGAAGCCGGCGGAGAAGCCGCGGGAGCCCAGGATGCAGGGGGCGGAGGTGAAACGCTCGGGGTTCTCCGTCAGCAGCTTGTAGCCCCCGTTGGTGACGCTGCTCAGGTCCTCGGACACCGAGAGCCAGCCCGCGGCGGAGTTGGGGTCGAAGCTGAAGGGGACTGAGGTGGGAAGACCTGGATTAGGAGGGCTGAGCCTGGATTGCCACGGGGATGAGCTTTACAGGGGGGGGAGCGCGGCCCTACAAGCACCCACCCACCCGTCCTTTCCTTTCTGGGGACAACCAAAGGCACGAGCCCGCCCCTGCGTGGAGAAATTAATTTTTTGGGGCTTTTTTTGGGGGGTTTAAGTGCCTCAGAACACCTTTTTGCACCCAATCCTTGTCTCCCCAGCCCCATCAGAGGCAGGCACAACTGCCCCAGCACCCGCTGCCCCGTTCAAAGGCTGCTCTCGCCCTTTTTGGGGAGCCCCCCCGCGTCCCCTGGTGCCTCACCCACGGTGATGTTGTCCAGCATCTTCTTCCACACGTTGTACTGCAGCGAGCCCAGGTACTTGGCGGTGTCGATCAGCATCCCCGAGGCCACGGCCTCCGGCTCCTCCACCGTGCAGGCGATCCTAGGGCAGGATGGAGCCGGGTCGGGGTGGAGGCAGGGGGTTTGGGGGGGGTCTTTTGGCAACTTTGGGTTTCTACAGGGGTTTTCCTACCAGCACCCTGCGTTTTCTCCTCCTGGGCTCGGTGCAGGAGCAGAGCAAGAGAAGGTCCTGCCCCCAAGGAAAGTCCCCACACCAAAAATCCCACCCGTGCCCTTCTTCCCCTATCGGGGTTTTAATGCTTCGACCCCAAGAGCTGCGATGCTGCTCCATTTTTGGGTGTTTTTACCCTGCCTGAGGCACCCGTGGGGACCCCCAGCACCTTGTCCTGCTGGAGCACGTTGCCCTGAGCGTCCACAACAGGAGGGGACGTGAGGGTACAGGACGTTGTGTGGGGCAGGGACCTCGTTTTGTGGGTACAGGGGTCACAACCGGGGCCGGGACTCACCTGCGCTTGCGGTTCTTGTGGGTCTGAAAGAGAAGAAGACACCAAGCATCAAATCCCTGCTCCTACAGGCTCCCGGGGGGGTTATAAACACCCCGAGGATCGCCCAGCACCGCTGTGGCCTCGCTTGGGGGAGCCACGAGGACCCCGGGGGGGGGTTTTACCATGAGGAAGGTGTAGTCGTCCTCTTTGAGGTCGTCCTGGAGCTGGCAGGCTTCGTTGAGCAGAGCCCGGCTCTCGTCCGACAGCTGCTTGATTTTGCCCTCGACGAGGTCCTGCTTGCGGCGCGTCTCCTCCTGCAGCTGGGCCAGCAGCGCCTTCTCCTCATCCCGCAGGAACTCGTGCAGCTTCTCAAACTCCTTCTTGATCTGCTCCTCCAGACGCACGGCTTCCACCTGCCCGGGGTGGGGATTTATCACAGCTTCCCCCCTGGCTCGGCACCCCCCTGGGATCCCCGAAATCCTCCCCAAAATGGAACCAGAGCTCTCCTCCGGCTGGGAGCTGCCCACCCCAAATAAACGGCCCCGCTGCCTGGGGTGTGCTCGTTGTCACCCAGCCCCGGGGGGGGCACCGTGTGGCCGCCCCCACCCCATCTCCAGCCTCGCACCTGGTTGTGTTTGGAGATGGACTCGTAGCTGCGGTGCACGGTCCCGAAATCCTTCACTTTATCCCGCAGGGAGGTCTCCATGTTCTTCAGCTTGGCCTGCGGGGGGGAGACGCCTTCAGGACCCTCGCGAGCCTACGCCCCCGGGTTTCGGATGCGGAAAGACAAGAGCCCCAACCCCAGCAGGACGCGGTTAAGCAGGATCCTCGCTCAGCCCAACCCCTTTTTTCCCCCTCCTGCAGCCGAAGCCACCCAGCGCGCACCTCGGGGCCGTGCGCCGGAGGACGTTTGCTCCACAGCAAGTCCTCCACCCCATTTTTTTATTATTAAACCTTTTTTTTTTTTATTATTATTATTCAACACGCTGTCAAATCCTGGTTTTCCCCCGTGCCTGTAGCCCCGTGGGCGCCCCGCCAAGCCGGCTCCGTCCCCGCGACATTTGAAATAAATCTGGCGAGCTCCCCGCGGGGCTGAGTCACGGCAGCCGCGGGTCCTGGCACGGGGCCTGGCCCCAGCCCTGTCTCCTCCTCCTCCTCCTCTTCCTCCCCGTGTGGCTCCACAGGGCTGGGGCTGCCTCTCCCACATCCCCCCCTTGGCTCTGGGGCTGGGTTGTGCGCAAAAACCCTCCCCAAAAAAAAAAAATAAATCAGCGCGCCCAGCCCCGAGGCGCTGCCGCTGCTGCAATAACCGGCACGGCCGGATCCAGCTCAGCCAAAAATAAAAAAATAAAAAACACAAAACAAAACACGCGGGGAGCGGGCAGCTCTCCAAACCCCTCCCCTTCCCCGCAGGCTTTTTTGGGGCGAAGCGTTGAGCCCTCAGGGCCAGGCAGAGCGTTGGGAGCGGGGTGCAGCTCTCGGGGTGCTCCCCATGCAACCGATCCCTTCTTTTTTTTTTTAATTTTTAATTTTTTTCCCCAGATCATCTCACCCTGAAATCCGCAGCCGTCTCCTGCACCGGCCTCATCTTGTGCCCCTCGTGCTGCTTGGAGCTCTGGCAGGAGAAACACGCCAGCTCCTTGTCGTCCAGGCAGAAGAGTTTGGCTTCCTCGTGGTGCACGGTGCAGAGGGCGGCCGGGCGGCCCCGCCGCTGCCCTTCCTCTTTTAGGATCATCTCCACCAGGTTGCTGAGCGTGTGGTTGACGTGGAGGTCGTCGGGGGAAGCGGGTTCCTTGCAGACGGGGCAGAGGTGGTACTGGTGCTCCCAGGAGCGGCTCACGCAGCCCTTGCAGAAGTTGTGGCCGCAGCAGAGGGTCACGGCTTCACGGAAGGGTTCGTAGCAGATGGGGCACAGCAGCTCCTCCTTCAAGGTGGACGCGGAGGACGAAGCTAAAATCACCGAGCTGCCGGGCGGGGGGCTGGTTGCCTTCTCCATGGCGCTGGGGAGAAGAAATAAGAAGGGCAGGGGGGATAAGGAAGGTTGGAGGGAGGCCAAATTTGGGTTTCCCAGAACCCCGAGTGGAAAACCAGCCCCGGTTCCTGATGCAATCGGCTTCCTGCCTCTGACTCACCCCCTCCGGCTCCCTCCCAAGCTGGGCACCGGCCCTAAGTGACACCGCTGGCCTGGGCGGGCTCCGGGATGCTACGAGCCCGTGCCCACAACCCCGTCCCCAGTAAAAGCACCCCAAGACCCCCCTTTATCCCTTGGAGAGCCCCCCAAAGTCCCGTGGCGAGGTGCTCGGATCCTGGTGCTTTTCTCCTGGTTCGGATGCTCGCCCCCGGTGCTCGGTTCCTCGCCCCCGGTGCCACCCCGGGGGCTGTTCCCTTACCCCAGGTGCCCCCCACCACGGTGCCAGGACCCCCACCACGGTGCCAGGACCCCCATCCCAGTACCAGGACCCCCATCCCAGTGCCCAGACCCCCACACCACAGTATCAGGACCCCCATCCCAGTGCCAGGACACCCTTTTCCCAGTGCCAAGACCCCCATCCCAGTGCCAAGACCCCCTCTTCCCAGTACCAGGACCCCCCCACCACGGTGCCAGGACCCCCACCCCGGTCCCCAGCCCCCCCTGTTCCCTTCCCCTCCCCGGTTGCCCCGTACCTTACTGAGGGCGAGCGGCAGCGCTTGCAGCGTCCCCTCCGGCGTGCGGAGCGATGCGGGGGCCGTGCGGGGGCCGGCAGCATCCCGAGAGCGGAGCTCGGAGCCGGGCTGAAGGCAGCGAGGTTGTCCCGGGAGGCGGAACGGGGTGGGAAGAGGCAGAGCTACGGGGAGGGCTCACGGCAGCCGGCCCGGCCCCCTCCGGGCTCGCTGCTGTCCCTGGAGCATCCTCATGGGGAGAGGGGAGCGTCTTGGGGTTGGTGTTTCCAGCCCCATAGGGTAACAGCCCCATAAGGAGCATCAGGTCTCCCAGTAGGGGAGCAGGAGGAGGGGGAAAACTATTTTCAAGGGCGCAGATGGCGAAAAAAAAGGAAAAAATAAGGGTGTTGTGCTGCTCGGGAACGCACGTGCGGTGGGGAAGGGTTGGTGCTGTGCAGGGGAGTCAAGGATAAAAGATAAAGTTGTTGGGATATCTAAGCTGGGGGTGAAGGACGGAGGGGGAGGGATGCGACGCAGCCTTCTTTGAGATAATTCACCCTGTGGCACTGCTTTGGGCTGGCATCGCCTGAGAAATGGGGAATTTGGGTACAGAGCGGGGAGCGACGAGGGAAAAATAATCCAATTTTTTTTCGAGGGGAAAAAAAATGAATAATCGAGGGAAAAATCACCTTCAGAGGGGAGAGGAGCGCGTGGAAAGGACACACAAACACCTGGCCCAGGTGTAGGAGAGGTTTATTAGCCCCAGCCGGGAAGCTTTGGCTCATTGCAGCATCAGTTTGGGGCAGAAAAGAGCCCCCAGCACTCACCGTGCCCCCCAGGGGCAGAGCAGCTCCAGGTCCAGGCGCTGCACGGGAGGGGACAGCAGCTTGCTGGTCACCTGCGGGGAGAGGAAGATGATGGTGATGATACCAGGTCCCTGCCGCCACGTCCTGTGCGTGGGGACGGCGAGGAGCAGCTCGGGGACACGTCCCCGTGCTGGAAAACCCCTCTGGTGTGGGATCACAGCTCTTTGTCCCATTTTTAGGGACCCCACGCTCACCCCGGAGGTGCTGTAGCGCTCCAGCATCAGGCACAGCTCCAAATTCTGCTGCTGCAGCTCGGCCAGCTCGGCCAGCAGGCTGGCTCTCCGCGTCAGGACGTTGCTGCGAGGGGAAGGAAGAGTTAAAGAGGCCCCAAAAGAGAAGCGGGGAGGTGTCAGCGGGGTCTCTGGGGGCTGTGAGACCCTCGTCAAGCCCCGTTTGTAGGGATACGGGGAGCTGGGCCACCTCCACCTCCCTGCTGGGGGGTTTTTGGGTGGTTTCCAGCACCACTGAGGGCCAGCACCCCCAGGCAGGTGGGGCCACTCACTAATATTCCTCCAGAGCCACCAGCAGCGCGTCCCACAGCTTTAGGGTTGTCTCTGGGATGACGTGTGCCAGGGCTTCCCAATATTCCCCGTCCTTGGAGCTGTCCCGAACCTGCAGCGCCTCCTTTGCTGCCCTGCTTTTCTCCCTGAGGGACCCAAAATAAAGCCCCCAGGGGTGTTGTCCTTCCTGGGTGACAACCAACCCCGTAGCCTTCAGCTGCGCCGAGCACCTTCATCATCATCACACCAACGAGCACGACCCCGCAGCTGCCTCTAGGGCGATGCAGCAGCCCCTAACCCTGCCCAAACAACCCCAAAACCCTTTGTCCCAGTGATTGTCTGGCTCTGCTGTGCCTTTCGTCCTACCTCGGCTTGTCAACGCCCCGAACAAACGCTCTCAGGATCCTGAGGACATCGTCAGCATGGATGCAGGCAGATGGAAGGGGGCCCGGTGGTCCCTGAGGAGATTTGAGCTCACCGGCCTCGCTGCCCGCTCTGTCCTCCCCCAAATCCGGGACATCTTCTCCACCCGGGCTTCCCTGGTGGTGGAGGGAAGGTCAGGGCGCTGGGCACGGTGCCCTTCTACCACCTCCTCCTCCCCAAAAGCCACCTTGGGCTTCCAACCACCCGCAGCTTTAGCATATTTAGGGAGTTTGGGCAACAACTCATGGGTGAGAGGCCCTGGGAAGCTTTGCAGAAGATCCTCACAACCCCTCAGCCTCATTTTTTTGCCACAGGCTCTGCTTGCACCACGGAAAATGGAACCCTGGGGGTTTAGGTGATGTTCTGCTTCCCCTTCTCTCAGCGTGGGCTCTCCCCACTGCTGCCTCCGCAGTCCCACCTGGCTGAGAGGCGCCTCCTGGGCTTTGAACTTCAGGAAGAAATCCACCAGCCGCTGCAGCTCGTCCTCGCTGTCGATCTCGAGGGCCTGGGGAGCAGAGGAACATCTCTGAGACAACACGGGAGGGGGAGCGAAACGAACTGCATTTTTTAGGGTCTTGTGCAGGATCTGAGAGGGGGGGAGCAGCGAGAAGGGGTTTGCGTGAGACAGCCAAAGGTTTCTGGGGGTGGGAGTGTCTGAGAATAGAAAGAGGGAGCCTGGAGGTGTTCGCTATCAGCAGGACGGCCTCGAGCCAAGAAGAAATCTTGGCCACGGTGCTTCATGCCCTCCTGGGGTGCTTCTCTCCCTTCCCTGCCACAAAGAGCCCTCAGCAAGCCCAGCTGGACCCCCTCAGGCAGCTCAGTCCCACTCCTGAAATGCACCCAGACGTTTTTTTTAAGCCATTTCTTGGGCCATTGTGTCCTGCACACAGAGCTTTCACACGTGGCTGCCAGCCTTCCCTCAGGAAACTCATCCCTGCAGCCCCTGACGGGTTTAGATGTGGTGATCTGGTTCAGCGGAGGACTGGTTAGCGTTGGACTGGGTGATCTTGGCGCTCTCTCCCAACCTGGATGATTCTGCGGACTGATAACTCACCGAAAAGATGGAGTCGAGCCTCAGGAGGGTGCGTTCGTGCTTTCCCAGCGCGCGCAGAGGCCTCAGCAGCTTTCTCTCAATGAGGAAACCCTTGGGAGACACACACAGAGCAGGCATAGAAACAGCAGTGTCTGCATTCATGTCCAGAACTCAGCCCCCTGCAGCCTGCCCTTCCTGAGCAGGGCAGGAGCAGCATCACCACTCACCGACTCGTCGCTCAGGAGCTCCAGGATCCTCTTGGCAGTCTTCTTGGAGATGTTTGGCAGAGGTGTGACTCTATCCCCAGCCTTTGCTGTGCTTTCTTTTCTTCTTTCTCTGTCACTCACTTCTTCCTTCTCAGCCTTTGCTATGTTTTCTTTTCCTCCTTCTCCACTGCCCACTTCTTCTTTCTCTTTCTCCTCCTCTTTTGCTTTCTCCTCCTCTCCTCCACAGCTGCTCTCTGAAACGCAGAAAAAAGGTGAGCAAAAGTCTTTAGATGCTTTGACCGTGCTCCCCAAACCAGCACTGGCCACTGTGGGAGCCACCAGAGAAATCCCAGTTGTTCCCTGAGACCTGGAAAGGACCCCAAAGAGCCCAGGATGCGAGCTGGCTCACTTGGAACTGGGTTTCCCAGTGCCACAGGGGTGCCAGGGGCTCTGTCCCACCTGCCAGGACCTCAGCAGCCAGCTTGGTGGCCATCCTCTTCGCCTTGTAACGCCTGAGGGGGCCGATGTTGTTGAGGAACCAGTGGCGAGGCTGCTCCCAGGGCAGCCCCAGTTGCTGGGTGTGAATGATGCGATCCGCATCCAGGGCTTTCCGCATCAGCCGCTTGGCTTCCTCCTCGTTCATCAGCCAGACCTCCGTGAACTTCTCAGCGTCGCTGGCAGCAAAATGCCTGTGCAGAAGAGAGAAAAAACCATGGCAGTGAGCTCTGAGCCCCAAAATGAGTCAGCTTCTCTTTGTACCTCACTCTGAGGCCTCATCGGGGTGGGTGGCCGGCACGCAGCCCACCTCATCCTCTTCTGCACCTCCTTGCACTGCCCGGTGATGCGCTCGCAGTCGGCTGCCAGGCTCTGGTTCTCCTCTCTGAACTGCTTCTCTTGTTTGTCCAGCTTTGTCCTCAGGTTATTCAGTGAGCTGTGCAGCCTGAAGAGGGACAGCAAGGCTGGGGATTCCCAAAAAGGCACCTTTGGGCGAATCCAGCGTGGATGAAGGCTTTGGGACTTGGGTCTGTCTGTCTGTTAGGGACTACTCAGTGTCAAGGTGTGACTGAGCCTGACCCAGCTGGCACAGTTTCCCCTCTGGTAGCTTATTCAAATTGTTTTGGGGATGGCACTGCCCTGGGATGGGTTGGGACAGAGGTCGCTGGCCTGTGAAAAGAAAAGAGAAAAGAGAAAGAGAAAGAGAAAGAGAAAGAGAGAAAGAGAAAAGAGAGAAAGAGAAAGAGAAAGAGAGAGAGAGAGAAAGAGAAAGAGAAAGAGAAGAGAGAAAGAGAAAGAGAAGAGAAAGAAAAGAAAAAGAAAGAAAAAAAAGAAAGAAAAAGAGAAAGAAAAAGAAAAAGAAAAGAAAAAAAGAAAAAAGAAAAAGAAAAGAAAAAGAAAAAGAAAAAGAAAAAGAAAAAGAAAAAGAAAAAGAAAAAGAAAAAGAAAAAGAAAAAAGAAAAAAGAAAAAAGAAAAGAATACTGGGAGGTGACAGTGGTAAGGCAGAGCCCATCTTCCAGGGATGTTTTTGTCACCTGTTGATCTTCCTCTTCTGCCGGGATCTGGTGATGGTGTTCTCCTCATCCTGCTTCTTAAGCACCAGCAGGTTGTACTCCAGCTTCTCCTGGTTCAGCAGATAGGCGGCTTTGGTCTGCTGGAGCTGCCTCTCCAGGTTCTGGCATTTCAGAAAACACAAAAACGAGCTGGGCCGCGAGCAAAAGCCACACCGAAGCCCAGGTCTTACTAAATCTGCATCTCCAAGTCCCATCTTCCCCCGATTTCTCCCAGCTGGCCACGTGGCATGCATGGTGAGTGATGGAGATGTTGGTTGTCCACGCTGCGGGACCATTTTTGGGGAAAGGAGAAGGGATTGAAGTTGTACCCAGCTTATGCTCACTGAGGCACTAACACGGGCCTCGCTCCTCAACCTGGCTGCTGATTTTCATCTCACTTTTCAGAACTGAGTGCCTTTGGGACCTCTGCCCTCCTGCCACTTTCATTTAATTAACTGAAAGGCTCCGAACTTGGAGGAAGGGACGCAGAGGAGTGACCGCAGGAGCTCCAGAACAAAACAACCGACACTTCTCTTCCTGCACTGATAAATTTGTGAGCACGGGGTCTCGCTGCACAGCCTGGAGGAAAGGAAGAGCTGCTCCCGGGGCTGATTGCTGCTGTCTCGTGGGGCTGCTGCTTTCAGAGAAAGAACCACGGAATGGTTTGGGATAGAAGGGACCTCAAAGCCCCCCCAGTTCCGACCCCCTGCCATGGGCAGGATGCCAGCCACCAGATCAGGTTGCT